GTAATCCAGATAATGCCAACATATGTGACACATGCATATTTGTGTGCATCTTCCCAAGGAGGAAAAACTCTTACACATGTATGTTTTAGTTATAAATGTGATTACATAGAATTGAAGGATCTATTACTATTTATATGAGCCAATTCATCCCATAAGCGAGTAAAAAATACTTGCCAATTGCAGTTAAGGGATGTCTGTTCTAATTTGTGTAAGTTTTAGCTTTATTTATGTGTACATATGTCACATGTGTACATGAGAGCCCCTGGAGCTGGAGTTACATGTGCTGGTAATCAACCTGATGTGAGTGTTGGGAATAGAACTCAGGTCTTCTGCAAGAACAGCAAGTTCTCTTAACTGCTGAGCCATATGTTCAGGCCTTATCTAACTAATGCGGTAACACTTAGTATTCCAATTGTGTTTGTTTTATAATTCAAAACCACTTTGATATTTCATTCATCATACTGTTGGGCATGCAAAGTACTAAGTTAGAATTTTTGGAAAATAAGATTAATAATTTTGCCTGTGCTTGTAAATAATGCATGCTTAATCTTTTTAAGATATGATTTCTTTAAAGTGCTTGCTAACACCATAACTGAATAATAATGCTAGCATTAAATAACAATGGGCGGGGCTGGAGGGATGGCTCAGACAAATAAATATTTTAAGAGCACTGATTGCTCTTCCTAAACGTTCTGAGTTCAATCCCCAGCAACCACATGGTGGCTCATAGCCATCTATAATGAGGTCTCGTGTATACATGATAAAAAAAAATTAAAAAAAAATCAAATGTTGCAATTGTGCTGTGAGAATTAAAAAAAAAATAACAATGGGCACGTTAAAACTAAAAAAAAATCTGTTGCATAATTAACTTTTTTTCTTTCCAAAATGACTTTTATTTGACAGTACAGAGGGAAAATATAGAAATAAATTTTTTTTTGTCTATGTCATCACAAAAATACAAAGCATCTAGATTTCTTTCACAAATATGAAACTAGGGACCTATAATGAGTAAGCCATGAGAACTATTTTCCCAAAGCAATTATAATTTTTGAGATACACTCTTATATTTGAATTTAGCTTCTATACCATTCAAATATATAGCTAAAGTGACTTGTCCTAGCAAGAAGTCAGTTTGTGTTCACTTATGTAGAACAGAGCTAACTGTAACATGGTAACTATGACCTCATTAGTATACAGCCAAGATTAATAAAATTTACTTTAATTAATTATTTAAACTTTAAGAAAGATGCAGTTATGTGTCATTACATGCTAACAAAACACAGTTAATATTTACTGAATGTTCCCTGAAATAGTACACAACTATGAAAAGGTCTCAACACTTTCTTTCTTATTATTATTTATTATAATTTATTCACGTTGTATCCTGGCTTAATTCAGAGACTGATGGACCAACCAAGGACCAGGCATGGAGAGGATATAGACCCCCTGCTCAGATGTAGCCCATGGGCAGCTCAGTCTCCATGGGTTTCCTTAGTAAGTAGAGCTCATACCTCTGTCATGAACTCTGCTGCCTGTTCTTTCATCACCTCCCCCTGGCGAGGTGGCCTTACTAGGCCACAGAAAAAGAGGATCCAGACAGTCCAGATGAGACCTGATAGGCTAGGATCAGATAGTAGGGGAGGAGGACCTCCCCTATCAGTGGACTAGGGGAGGGGAATAGGGGAAGAGGTGGGGGAAGGAAGGTGGGACCTGGACCACAATCAACTTTCAATAAATTGAGAAGATTAAAATTATACAAACAGCATTATTTTAAAAATATTTATTTGTCTGTGTGTGTGTGTGTGTGTGTGTGTGTGTACAGGTGTTTGTGAAATTTAGAAGAAGGTTTTGGAACCCACATAGTTGGAGTTGCAATAGGTTGTGAGCGGCCCAATGTAGGTGCTGGGAACGCAGGTTCTCTGGAAGGACAAACCATCTTACCCATTAAGCTATCCTTCCTGCCCCAAGAATATTCTTTGTAAGAATATACTAGTAAACAATTACAAAAGTATTTCTGAGAAATTAAAATTACCTTGAACACCAAATACCATGCTTCTAAATAACACATGGATCAATGAACATATAAAAAGATATGACCGAGTTCTGATTAGATGAGAATAAAAGACAAAACTCCAAATCTGTGGATGAGACTAAGGTAGATCACAAGAACTTCAGAGTCTTATATGTCTTCAGGTCTTCCTTCCCTTCCATCTGACCTTAGCTTATCAGATCTCATCAGGACTAGCTGCAATGTCCTCCTCTGTGGCCTGGCAAGGCTGTTCCCTCTCAGGAGGAGGTGATCAAAGATACAGCCACTAAGTTCATGTCAGAGACAATCCCTGTTCCCCTTATTAGGGTTCTCACTTGGACACTGAACTGCCATGGGCTACATCTGAGCAGGGGTTCTAGGTTATTTAGGTTGTATCTATGAATGGTCCTTGGTTGGAGTATCAGTCTTAGAAAAGACCCCTGTGCTCAGATGTGGAGCTCCTGTCCTCTCCAGGTCTTACCACCTCTCCCTTCTTTCAAAAGATTCCCTGCACTCTGCCCAAAGCTTGATTATGAGTCTCAGCATCTGCTTTGATATACTGCTGGGTGGAGTCTTTCAGAGGCCCTCTGTGGTAGGCTCCTGTCCTGTTTCCAGTTTTCTCCTTCTTCCAATGCCCATCCCATTTGTCTTTCTGAGTGAGGATTGATCATCTTACCCAGGGTCCTCCTTCTTGCTTAGGTTCTTTAGGAGTACAGATTTTATGTTTATCCTATATTATATGTCTAATATCCACTTATAAGTGAGTATATACCATGTGTGAATTTCTGCTTCTGGGAAAAAAGACAATCACAGATTTAGATAAAGTATTTTAATGAAGTTTAAATACTTTGCTGAGAGTTGACAGATACCTTAGGTATGTGAATATCATAAGACTCCTACCTACTAAGCATTGTTTTGGAGTTGTGGAGATCAGGTCCACAGCCTTGTGCATCCTGGAAAGCATGTAATCACTGAGTTATTATGCCTCTATCCACTATAAATAAAAATGTGAAAACAGATGGTCAAAGACTTATATACTAATAAAATTCTCACAAGATAGTTGTATCATAAGCTTTTATTTATCATTAAATTTTGAAAAATATATGAATTGGTTCTTCATAAATAGGAGACAAAGTCTTTCCCAGGAGCTCACACTTTAATTTCACAGCAGAGGCAGGGCAGTATCATTGAAGGGTGTTATTCTTAAAATAAGTGGAAACATGAATCACAGGGATAGCCACACAAACTATAGTTTATGTCCTCTTCCATGAAACCAATTTAAGTCATTCTTCCTGAGACATTTCTTAGTTATTTTTAATTTTTGATTGGCTTTTGATTTCTTGATTTTTTTATGAAATATATTGTTTTTGGTGGGGGACAGATATGAAGGGAGAGGGCTGCTCGGGGGAGCTGGTGCTCTTCTACTGCTGTGTAGGTCATGGGCATCAAACCATGGCTACCAGGCTTGACAATGGGCATATTTATCTGTTGAAGCATCTTGCCCACTCTTATTATTTTATTTTATTTACTGATTTATTATTTTACTTACTGATCTTTTTTTGAGACAGGGTTTCACAATGTAGTTTTAGTTGGTCTATAACTTGAATTGAAGGACTGCTTCTGTTTTTTGAGTGCTGGGATTACAAAAGTGAACCACCATGCCCAGTTCTGTGTCTAACTTTGCCAAAGGAAAATCAAAACCAGATGATGTCACATTTTTACAAGTGTAACTGTCATACTCTAGATATTTCATGAATTTCCAATTAAAGTCATCCATCACTGATGATACAAATCATTTCTGTCTGCAATGTAATAAGAGCTTTCACATGAAAGGAGGCTCCATCCTCTTAGCACTAAGAGCATAACTCAGAAGCACAGGGCAGTGGAACCTTCAGCCCACACTCTGGCTCCACTGAGGCGCGCTGCAGACAAAGCACACATTGGGGTCATCTCCCACTCTGTTCACTCACTCAGTGGGAGCCAAATGTGCAATGTGTCTAATTAACTTGCTCAATTTCCTTCTTCCAATTTACAATGCCCTTTAACAACACCATTACTGGAAAGCTATTGTTGGCATGGACAGTACAAAACCTGATTTGGGAAGAAGCATATTTCATATGCTTAAACATCCCCAAATTGAAAACTGTAGAGAGCCAGTTGCCTCACATGCTGACAAAAATAAATCTGGGCATGGACCATTTTGTAGAAAAGAGAAAAAGTCATGTTAATTTAAAATGTATGGTTATATACAAAAAGAATAGAAAATAACCCATATAATTTTTAACACCTAAAATCAGTAAATTAATAGCACATTTGAGTATTGGCTTTCAAACAGTAAATGGACAGTTACAAGAAAAACAGCCTCTCCCATGTTAATCTTATGGGCACCGAAACTTCTATTTTAATAAAACATAGTGTGACTCATTTCAATTTAGAAATCTGTTCTTCTTAATGTTTCTGAGTTTGGTGCAAATCAAATCTATCACCAAGAAATAAGAGCAGAATGCTTAAAAGCATGAGGGAGCCAATCTGTCTTCTAAATGAACCATGTGACTTCGATACCACAAATGAAAAGTTAGAAATTGATATCAAAATGAAAAGTGCCTCCTAGAAAGACAATTATGTCTCTGGACAATGTCCTGGTAGATATCCTGTGTTCCTCATCAGGGGAAATAAGCAACTGTGTTTTTCCATATGCACAGTCATAAAAATGAAGAAAACTGGCTTTTGCTTCATCTTTATGGACTCTTTCTGGTACTCAGATTCTTTGCTCTTTTTCTCTTCCTCCTTTCTTCCAGACTTCCTTCCTTATTTTTCTTTCTTTCTTAAAACAATGTTGCTTCTACTTCCCAAGATCATTAGGAGAAAATAGGGGCACACAGTAGAAATGATGTAGGTGTTGGGAAGTTTAGGTAAAAAATTATATTAACTGTAAAAAAGGTTTCATTATATCATTACCAACACACATGTCTCACATTACTGTTTTATTTTATTAAAAAACATTTTACCTTACAGCTCCAGGCACATCTAGAATGAGTGTGTGGACGTCATAGCACAGCCAGTTCCCTTCTTCCACCACTTGGGGTGAGGGGTTGAAATCAAGCTATCAGCCTTGGAGGCAAGCGCCTTTAAGCACTGAGCCATGTCTGGGCCCCTAAGAAGCCAGTGTACCTACACCACATTCTTGTAATCTCTGGACCTCTCACGCTACTCATTCTTTTATTTTCAGGCCTTGGCCCCCAACTTCCACATTCGAGATAAAACAAGTGATACTCCTGTCTTTAGGGGACTAGCTTTTATCACCTAACATAATCTCTCATCCCAGTTTTCCGCAAATGCTTAAGTTCCTTCTTCTTTACGGCTGAGTAAAACTCTGTTGTGTACACACAACTATGAATACCTTGGTTGATTCCATAACCTGGCTATTGTGAATAGTGTCACGATAAACAAAGATGTGCAGAGGTCTCCATTGTAATCTGATATACATTTATTTATTGATATCATGTAAGTTGTATGGCTAAGTTTTAGCTTTTTGAGGAAGCTCCATACTGATTTCCGTAGCAGCTAGATGAATTTATATTGCCGCTACCAACTTATAAGCCTCCTCCCCTAACCAGGGCTGACTGGCATTTGTTTTCTTGATGATAGTCATGTTGATGAGGATAAGTAGTTTCGATGGGCATTTCCAATGGGCACAGGCAGTGAGCCTTTCTTCATGTAGTCATCATCTGAAGTGTATGCTCACTTCTCTGGCCATTTGTTGACTGCAACCTTTTTTATTATTATTATTTTGCAATTTACTTCAACATATGTTCTAAATATTAGCCTCTTACTGGGTGAATAACTGGCTAGGGGTTTTACCCTACCTTCCGTTTTGTTTACTTTACAAGTACGTTGTACAATCTACCTGTGCTCGTTTTATTTCCTGAGCTATTGGGATCTTACTCAGAAGGCCTTGCCTATCTGCTCGTATCTTCAAGTGTTTTCCACTAGTCATTTCAGTTTTTTAGGTTTTACATTAAGGTCTCTGATCCTTTTATAAGTCAAACATAAAATTAAAACTATAATTTAAAACTGATCCTAACAATTTAAAAGAACAAGGGACTTGCCAAAATGAACTCACTTCATTTCGCAAACCAAGCAAATGGCAACACAAATCTATTCTGTTCCAAACCTCTCGGTATTGATTCCCAGTGCACGGGAACACGTAACAGATGCAGACAGAACACAATCAAGTTGCCCCATCTCCTGTACAAATGAATAGAGCAAAATCCGAGTGTGCCTCTCATGATCTATGTGCTCTGTGCTCTAACACCGCACATGTCTCTCAGCAGTACTGGCCGGTAGTTTTGCTCCAAAGTCTCCATGTATTCAAAATAGTTGCTCACTCGAAACCCACGCAGCGCTTCTTCCTGCCAGGAAAATATGAAGGGAAGTTTATTTACTTAGAGAAAGATGCACAATTCCAAGTGAATGATATTTAAGTAGTTGAAGTATCATCTGTTTTCAGCAATAGATGCTGAGGCAGTTTACATGACTAGTAAATGCGTAATTGCTCCTCATTTGGGAAGCTGTGTCTGTGACAGGAATGAATAAGGGTCTGGAGAAGCAAGGTTATTAAAAAAAAAAAAAACAGCAACAACACTTTACAGCTAACAACAGCAGCAGTAGCAGCCAAAAAAGCTTAAACTCTCAGATGATGAAATCTTCCCACTATTTGACCTACGTTTCAGTGGTAAGCATGCAACTAGTAAAGATCCTCTGTATCTACAAAAGGATGCTGTGATGTTGTAAGGAATATCCATGCTGAAGCCACTGTTCATAAAAACCTACATCAACAGGTGGGTCATGATGCTGGCACCGGAGAGGCAAATGATCATTTGTGTTTTCATGGTTAGTGTCTCAAATGAGGGGCTTGAGAATAAACAGCAAGGGCATTTAGAATTTTAGAGTATTTGGGGCTTAAGGATTGACTGTCTCTTAGCACACTCAAATATTATCTAACGTAGTATCTATCCAAAGGTGTTTTGAAAATCTTCAGAATAGTTGTTCTCAGGTCAGTACAACTGTGTTAGCTTTTGAGTTCTTAAAATTTTGAAGCAATTCATGATTTCCTCAAGCTTACAGCTAACAGACAATAAAAGATGAATGTATGTGTGTGTGTGTGTGTGTGTGTGTAGCAGACCAAAAGAATGAAAGGTAACATGTATTAGATACCAGACAGTTTGCAAGAGTTGATAAAAAAGGACATCAATGTAAGGTAGCTAAAAAAACATGCAACCTTTAACATAAAATTTAAAAGCCTCATGTGTATATATGTGTATATATAAAGGCTCATATATACTTACTTATGAGTAATGATTCACAGAGTTATGAAGAACTTTATTATTATTGTGCCGTGTGTCACTCAAAATCCACAGAAAAGTGAAGAAAAGGTATAGATAACCTAAAAAACTTACTGATCAACCAAGTTGAAGGAGCTGAAGAACCAATGTTTACAGATGATACCATTAAGGCTATGGAAAACACTACCCAAGAGAAATATCTGAACTCTGCTTTTAATTTTAAGGCAGAGGACACTGTGCCATCCACTCTCCCACTGCTCACTCATATGCTCTTTTAGTATATATAAGCTCTTCATTCTGGACATTAGCAATAAAAGTGAGTAAGACAAGGACTGCATCCTAGATTATTAATAGCCAAGGTCTCAAGCATGCCCTCAGATTAACAAACAGGTAACTTCTCTTAGGGTTATTACTGCTGTGATGAATCACCACAACCAAAGCACTTGGGAAGGAAAGGGTTTATTTGGCTTGCACTTCCACAGAACTGTTAATCAGCAAAGAAAATCATGACAGGCAATGAAACAGGCTGGGAATCCACAGGCAGGAGCTGATGCAGAGGCCGTGGAAGGATGTTCCTTACTGGCTTGCTCTTCATGGCATGCTTAGCTTGCTTTCTTATAGAACCCACGACCACCAGTACAGGGATGGCAACTCCCACAATGAGCTAGACTTTCCCCAATCAATAACTAATAAGAAAATTCCCTACAGGTTTGCCTACAATCTGATTTTATGGAAGCATTTTCTTATTTGTGTTTCCCACCTCTCAAATGACTTCAGCTTGTATCAAGTTGACATAAAACTACCCAGCACACAACTGAGTCACCTGGATATGGTGGCACACACTTATAATCCTTGCCCTTGACAGGCTGCAGCAAGAGGACAACAGGTTCAATGCCACCTGGGTAACATATTGAGGCCCTGTCTCAATAAAGAGAACAAAACAAATAGATGTTCAATTGATGGATGGCAAATTATTTCTTTGTAAGTTTCTACCTATCAAAAGTACTTATTCTGGGCACAGGGGTCTTTTCTGAGACTGATACTCCAACCAAGGACCATTTGTGGATATAACCTAGAACCCCTGCTCAGATGTAGCCCATGGCAGCTCAGTATCCAAGTGGGTTCCCTAGTAAGGGGAACAGGGACTATCTCTGACTTGAACTCAGTGGTTGGCTCTTTGATCACCTCCCCTTGAGGGAAGAGCAGCCTTGCCAGGCCAAAGAGGACATTGCAGCTAGTACTGATGAGACCTGATAAGCTAGGGTCAGATGGAAGGGAAGGAAGACCTCCCCTATCAGTGGACTTGGAGAGGGGCATAGGAGGAAATGAGGGAGGGAGAGTGGGATTGGGAGGGAAAGAGGGAGTGGGCTATACCTGGGATACAAAGTGAATAAACTCTAATTAATATAAAAAATAAAAATTTAATAAAGTCATTCAGGTTGAAAAAGGATCAAAGTGAGACTAATCTCACTGGACCAGTTTATTCTAAATAGCTATTGTTGTAAGTATAGAACTCTTATGAACTCACTCATTTTCTTAAAATTATATGTGACTTGGCTTTGATAATTTCTACACTAAAAGTATCCCTAAGTTGAAAGGCAATTCCAGTAACATCTTTCCGAACAGAGAAGACCCGATACTATGGGATCTGCTTCCCGATGCATTCACAATTTCAAATAAAAATTATTACTCATTAAGTGCAAATTATAATAGAACACAACAGCACTTAAACAATAGCTCTAACAATAGTTTCCTGGAAAAAAATAAAAATCTACCTAACATCTTTTAATTATTGTTCTATGTTCCTTTAAACATAAAACTACCCAGGCAAGCCACGGCTAATACTTGGCTTAAATATATTTCTTCTTTAGAATGTATATTTTTTTCAAAAACTGGCTTCTCTCTTAGATATTAATTTTAAAGTTAAAAGAAATATTCTAGTAACAACACTGCAGATATACTCACAATAATAGCATATAAGGTTACTGAGGTCTCATTGTATAAGAATTTTAAATGTACATTACAAATGCAATTTTAAATGGTATTGTTCATGTTTAAGAATCTGTAGGCATTTTTTTTTTCTGAATAAAAATTTAAAATAGCCAAGCTTAACTTTTAATCTTTCAAGTAGAATTTCTTCATATCACCCTAGACATTCTCTAATGCTCTTCTTGGGGTAATCTTACTTGTGATTATAATCATTTAGATTGCTAGTCTATTATTCAATAACCATTTCCTTGGAGTAGCACTTCCCTAGTTTCATTTGCGGATCTAAGAACATTGCAATTACCTTGTTCTATGAATACGGAAGCATGTAAAGTATAGTGACACTAACTACTTTTGTAACAATAGTGGGATACTTGCTCAAGAAAACACTTTGATAGGTTATACTGCAATAATTTAAATTTGGGTTAGGCTGTTTAGTGAGAGCATGCTACATTTCATATTATACCTAATTTTTATTCAGTCACTTTGCTTTCAATGATTGCTTTCATCATTAATTCTGGGTTTTGGATGTTGAATTGCCAAAAAGCATTAGAAATTACCATTCTTAACCACAGTGTTATGTATGTTATTACATCACATGATGTAAACCCTACTTCCTTTTTTTCTTTGAAATATGAAAGTTCAATCCCAAGTTCTTTCTTATAGTTGATAATATTTAATCAGGGTCCAGTGAATTTAGAATATTATACAAAAGGTAACTATACTAGTTAAGAAGGGACAATTTGATTTAAGGGGAACAGAGGACTTAGATTCACACAATAAAGGTTCAAAACCTCTCCATGCCAATTTTTAGATTATGCAAGTTTACCAACTGTAAATCTTGGTTCCCCATGTACCAATGGGGACCACAATAACAGGGTTGCTCCGTGGACAAGATAGTCTAAAACCTGAAAGCCTTATCATAGGGCACAAAGCCTTCTATGGTCTCTGTCCTGTCTCTTACCATATGCTCAATTTGTTCTGTTTACAATGTTAATCCTGACCCTTTAAGGCAGCGGTTCTCAACCTCTGGGTACCCTTTCACAGGGATCATATATCAGATATTCTGCATATCAAATATCTATATCACGATTTATAGCAGTGGCAAAATTATAGTTATGAAATAGCAATAAACATAGTTTTATGGCTGGAAGTCCTACAACATGAAGTGTATTAAAGAGCCGCAACATTGACTCCTTAACAGGTCAATAGAACCGAATAGAAATAGGCTGAAAACTTCTCTAAGGGCACTCAGTTCTTTCTTGCACCTGATCTTTGAAGCTGCCTCTATATGCTTGGATGAAGGCTTTTCTCCATCCCAGAGATCCTTATAAGGTTTTTCTTTTAAGACATTCTGGACCCTTCTTATCCTTACGGGTATCACAAACAATGTCTCCTTCACCCTGTCAGAGTGTCCTTCATTAACAAGTATAATGTCAGAAATATTATCTACTTATACTGTTTCTCACAGAAGAATTTAAGAACCACGTGAGGCAAGGCCACTTTTTCATGTGACTCCAACAGTGCTTGCAAAACTGTTGCTACAGAGCAAGTACTAGAATAAATCAAAGAGTAAATCCTTTGTCCATGGCCTTGCATTTAAACCATTAATGCTAGTCATAACAATGCCAACTGACAGTCTTGAAATGGCTAGAATACCCTCTCCTGAGCATATCAGACACTGGAAAAGATGAGGGTGATACATCAGGGATTACTGACTTCAGTTTTTGATCCTCAACTCCTTGCCAAGAATATAAGGAAACTAACCAATACAGATACTAAGACATCTCTGACTTTTCTCATAAATCCTCAGGGATATGCCTATGGGGAAAGCCAAATTATACCTGCACTTCTAAAAGATGTTTGTACATGTTATAATTTTCAAAGATACTAGAGATTTAATATCTGTCAAAAGGTTTTTCAGCAACCACAGCCCACTAAGCTTGACATTTCGATTTAGTGTGAAGTAAACACAAGGTACAGAAGATCAGTACGCTATCCTGGGCTACCTTCCTTGGTTTTATGATTTTATAACAGAGTCTATTCATTTCTGAACATTTGATTAGTAATGTGTTTGCAAG